CTCTATATCCCACACCATGACCCTCCCATCCCCAGGACCCCTGCCTACGAGACAATCCATTACCTTCCCCAACAGCTCTCACCTCCAGAAAGTTCTCCCTTCAGTCTGCTCATATCTGCTCGCCACATCCCTTCTCCTCCAGTCACCTCAGCTTTGCCCTCAAGGGCTCCAAAATACAGCAGCCCTTACAGCTTCTGAGATGGTCTCAGAACCCTCAGACAAGCATGGGGAAGACCCCAGGAAACTAAGTTCCACAGCCAACTCCCTGTCCCTTGTTGGTCCCTAGCCCCTCAGTTAGGTGGCCCTTCATGAGGAGTCAATGGAGTGAGCTGTGAGTCTTCATATCTCCTACCTCACTCCAGCCATGGCAACCCAGCCTCTCTCTCTCTCTCTCTCTCTCTCTCTCTCTCTCTCTCTCTCTCTCTCTCTCTCTCTCTCTCTCTCTCTCTCTCTCTGTGTGTGTGTGTGTGTGATATTATCATGGCTTCATCTGATGAAAGTTTTCATCTGGTATCAGACTTTGATGGTTTGATAGCCGGGAAAAGTATTGAAACTTCCAAAGAACTGCATCCTTTGAATGTCGTGTTCATAGATAAGGTTTCAGGGTCATCTGCCTGCTGGGGGAGAAATGGGAAGTCAGCCCCCAGGCACAGCCCTTGGGACACAATGTGACCAGCACAGGCAAATTCCCAGGGGCCTTCAGGGAGCTTTCCGAGAGTGTGAGGCAGGCAGCTGAAGTTCAGCATGGGTATCTGCCAGCTGAACTAGAGCTCGTGACAGCACCTGATGCTCTGCTGTGGGGTAGAGTGGACGGCAGGGAGCATCACCTCCAGGTGAGTCTGTGACTTGAGTGTTACGCTTTGGCCCTTTGCAGACCTCAGGCTGCTGGAGTCAGATCCCGAGTCCATCGGCCGCCACTTTGCTTCCAACAGCAGCTCGGTGGCCGCTGCCATCCTGGTGCCTTTCATCGCCCTCATCATCGCAGGCTTCGTGCTCTATCTCTACAAGCACAGGTACCTCGAAGGCAGAGTCAGGGAGAGCCGCTGTGTGCCCAGCCCTAGCACCCTGAAGGCAGAGTCAGGGAGAGCCCCTGTGTGCCCAGCCCTAGTACTCTGAAGGCAGAGGTCAGGGAGAGCCGCTGTGTGCTCAGCCCTAGCACCCTGAAAGTAGAGTCAGGGAGAGCAGCTGTGTGTCCAGCCCTAGTACCCTGAAGTCAGAACCCAGGGAGAACAACTTGGTATCCAGCCCTAGTACCCTGAAGGCAGAACCCAGGGAGAACAACTTGGTACCCAGCCCTAGTACCCTGAAGGAAGTGGCTGAGGAATGCAACTGAGTACCCAGCCCACCCATTCCAGCCAGCACCTCCTGACTAAGAAGAATGTATCTCTCTGAGAGGGAGAAAGAAACCTTCTCCTCTCTTGCTTTGGACGCTATATCTGACCCTTTAGTTCAGGGTCTTTGTCTCTTATTCCCAGGAGAAGACCCAAAGTTCCATTCAACGGCTATGCTGGCCATGAGAACACGAATGTTCGGGCCACATTTGAGAACCCCATGTATGACCGTAACATCCAGCCCACAGACATCATGAGCAACGAGGCGGAGTTCACAGTTAGCACAGTGTGTACTGCGGTATAGCCCCCAGGCCTGGCTGCTAATGCCACCGCCACCGAGAGCCCCGCCGCCAGCAGCTGGTGAGATTGAGGGCTGGAGGGTGGGAGACAGACTGGTTGCAGGGGACACTGGGACTGCTGCTGCACACATGGACACCCCACATCACAGGCACAAAGAGCTGGCCATTTGTGCCTGTGAGGAAATCGAAGTTAAGCATGCGAACATTAATGAACTTGAACAAAACCACACAGATAAGAAGAGTGGGTCAGAATCTAAGCCCAGTTAGAAAGCTGACCCCCAAGGGTACAGGGAGACAGCTCAGATGAAAAGGCAGGGACTCAGGTCCTCAGTGAAGTAGATGTGGCAACTGCCTGTAATCCCCTTGTTTGGGAGGCAGAGACAGGAGGCGTCTGGAGCAAGTTGGCTGATACCAAAGTCAACATCTGACTTCCACACACATACATGTATGCACGAGCACCAAACAATGTGTGCACACATGCACAGACACAAATACACACACACACACACACACACACACACACACACACGGGGCGGGGGGAGCAGGGAGAGTAAATGCTTCACCATCATGTACTCCCTAAATGTTCCCATCCCAGTTTGAGAAGACTGAAAACCAAAAGTAGAAGGTGGAACCGACTGACGCCCTTCCGTTCTTTCTTCCTGCTTGGCTTTGTGTCTCTGTCCCACCCACTTCTGTTCCCACCTCACCCCACCCCTTCCTTTCCTCTTCCAACCTGCTGTGGTCTGTCAGTCCCCAGCTCCCCAGGGGGCAGGAAGGAGCTCCCCTGAGCACAGTGCCCAGTGCCCATCTTCGTCTGTCCCTCCACCTTCGTCTGCCACTGCTGGGACTCAGGCCCTTGCTCGCCCTGCCACCATCTGTGCTCGCCACCCTGGAGAGGACTCCGCTGTGCCCTGGCTTGGGGCAGTAAAGGAAGAGGGGCTGCAGATGGAGGAAGGCAGTTCATGGATTAAACAGCAGAGTAAATTACGGGTGTGCCCCTGAGCACACACACACAGCCTCTCCTTCACTGTCCTATGGAAGAGACCACAGAGGCTAAAAAAGGGGACGTGTGTGTGTGTGTGTGTGTGTGTGTGTGTGTGTGTGTGTGTGTGTGTGTGTAAGATGCCCTGGACACTGTTCCCCACATACAGAAGAAATGATGAGAGAGACAGCGTTGTCTCTCCAACCACCATGTCCTTTTCCCACGTGTGGGGACACAGAGAACGAATGAGTAGGACATCTCATGGGAGGTAGCATGCAGAAGCCACCTGTCTGCAGGGGTGGCCCCATTTGCACAATGACAGCAAGGATTATCTGGAAGAAAGGGCGACAAAGTCTTCAGATATAGTTTGGTAATCAATTCAGCTTTCTTCAGCCATAATGGCATTGAGTTCCAAGCCCTGTGAATTAAAAAGTCATTTGGGTCCGGGGCCACTTTGGAAAAGAAGGGTAAAGCAGTGGCGGGCTTGGGGGATAGGACAGGAATCTGGCCCAGAAGCCCAGGGTGACATCGGCTGTCAGCTGACCAAGAGAAGAGAAAAGACCCTGTGGACCCCTCGGCGCTGGAAAGGACCAGAGCAAGGCAGCCCTGGCTCACACAAGGTGGTGACCACTGCTTACTGATTTATTCTCTGTGCCTGACTCCATGTGGTATTTCTAGTTTAAAACACCACCAAAGCAGGACTTGCTACTCCCATTCAGAGGTCAGGGAAGATGGAGGCATGAGCCACAGCCTATGAGTACAGCCGAGGCAAACGTGAATCTCTCTGACCATGAAATCTACTGCACCTGCTGCCAAAACACCCAGGCTACAATGGGCACCAAAGACAGGAAGGTAGGGGAATCTCCACAAGAGGATGCCCATGTCTACTCTAGGCTCTGCTGTCTGTGCCTGGGCAGCACCAGGTCAAGGACCCTGTACCCTAGCCTCCTGAATTGGTGCTCGCCTTCTGGCTTCCAACAGCCCACAACCATAGCAGAGGACCTGGCAGCTCCTTAGTTAACAGAACTGAGTGAAAGTCACCCTCTCGCCAGCTCCTTGCAGGTGGCTCAGATTCATTTAGACCAGCGGTTCTCAATGTGTGTGGATGGAGACCCCTTTGGGGGCTGAATGACCCTGTCACAGGGGTCACCTAAGACCATCCTGTATATCAGATATTTACATTACGATTTATGACAGTAGCAAAATTGCAGTTATGAAGTGACAAAGAAGATAATTTTATGATTGAGGATTGCCACAATGTGAAGAACTGTATTAAAGGGTCACAGCATTACGAAGGTTGAGAACCGCTGATTTAGACAACGTCACTGTGTTTAGGTCATTAATGAACTCCATATATGAGTGTCGTCCGGAAGCTCCTGAGTTTAGAAATCAACATAATGACGCTTAAGAGTCACTTTCTCATCCTCGGAAAGGTTCCCGTGAGCACACACCCCTGCCTCCATGGGGATGCCAGCCTCAGATGTTTTAGGGCATATTGACATAACAAATAGATGTGTGGGGGTGGGGGGGAGAGCCACACAGTTGTCAGCGCCCCGCCAGGGTTGTAACAATTAGAAGAGCTGAATGGCAATGAACTAAAGTCAGGGGTGTCAATTTCCAGCAGATGCATTGAAGACCGTAAGGGTAGGCCCACTCCTGCCCACACACATGCTGTGGGGTTCAGCATCCCTGCACCAGGTGGGAGAGGACCAGTCGAGACAAATTCGCTCATGCTCATTCCTTTCTGCCCCAATGCAGGGGTCTCTCGGGCTCCTTCCCCCTTCTCCCTCACAGCTGACCCAGTGCGCTCCCCAGCCCTCCCCTGTGCGCCCTTGGAAGGTCCCAGGAGACACTCAAGGAGCACAGGCTGGGGGACACTCAGCACCTGCTGTGTGTCACCCTCTCTGGCCTTGGGTACTTTCTCTTCAACCCCAGAGGCTCAGAAGAGGGACAAGGCAAATTAACCCTCTCATCCACCCCCTGTACCCTCTACCTACCATCTCCATCCCACGAGGAAAAAAAAGTAAAACAAAAACAAAAAAATCTTTTGTACAGAGATATATTTTTATTATACAAAGTTTGTACAGTACCAAAAAGACAGAAAAAAAGGTGTACATTTTTTTCATTATTGTAGGTAAATGGTAGCGGAAGCCTTTTTTGTAAATGTAATAAAATGTATAAATATGGTTTTCAGAGCGCATCACGTGCTGTAAATATGTAATCTACACCCCTTCTCGGCTTGTCTGCAGTGTGTGCACTTAATTTATCTGTCTCTGTATATGAGGCTTCCCCTGGGGTTCTGCATTATGGTACTTTCCGGAATTTGAAAGCAATTTTAAATTTTTTGAATTCAAATAAAATATAAATTTTTGCATTGGTTTTCTTTCATTTTTATGACCTCTTTCGTGGCTTTGGGGCAGGTGTTTCTTGGTGATGAGGAGATGGAGTTGGGATTCCAGGACTTGGGTAAGAATGCAGAATGTCTATAGTAGAGAAAGTCCAACAGCAGGGGTCTTCCAGGTGGGATGGTCTCTAAAGGAATAAGGAGCCTGGCAGGAGTTAAGAACCTGTCATTTTGTGTGAAAAGCTCACCCAGGCTACCTTCGGCTGCCTGCTCCCATCATGCTTCATGTGTGTTCTGTACTTTCGTTCCAACTTTCCCTCTTCAGTGACCCATCTTTAAACCAACTTTCCCAGTTTCAGTGAAGGCATTTTTTCTGGGACATAACATCTGGTATTTACCTTCTAGCCACTGCGGGCCGGCTGGGCAGGCTCATCCAGGCAGCTGAGCCTCCCTCTGCTTGGCCGTGTTCACTGTCAGGAACTGTACTGGATAAAACAAGACCCCGTTGCCAAGGAGATGACTCAGAACAGAAATGTATCCCAGATTATCAGGAAAAAACAGCAGGTGATTTCTCACTGCCCCCAAACACCAGAATGACATAAGATTTCTGAAAGTCTCAGGGCACAGAAAGAGGGGCAAGCCAAGCTACAGTGCCAGAGGCAAGGCACACCACCCCATCACCTCTGCCCCTAGAGAAGAGAGTACCTGCGGTGTTCTGAATACAAAGCATGCCCACATTGGCTAGCATGTTTGAACACCTGGTCCTTGGCTGGCAGCACCGTTCCAGAAGGTTGTGAGCCTTTGGAAACAGATGTGTCTTGCTGGAAGGAGGAAATCCGTGGGGCTGCCTTGGAGCTGACTAGAAACCCAGCTGTTTTCTGAGTGCACACACCAGCCCCCTCAGCTCCTCCCACCATGCTTTCTCCACCCCATGAGCTGTACCCCTTCCAACCGTAAGCCAAAAGAAACCCTTCCCCCTGAAGTTGCCCCTGTATGGTACTTATTCACAGAAAAAAAGAAGAACCAATACAGTGCCTTTGAACTAAACAATCAAAGTCACTGTACCCCTTCCTCCACTAGAATCACTCCTATGACTGGTGTCTGTACAGACAGGATAGGGCATTCACAAACCTTCCTGGTTCCCATAAGAGTAAGAGGTAAGGGGTCAGTGAGATGTGCCACGAGTAAAAGCACTTGCTGCTCAAGCCTGACCCCTGAGTCTGACCTTGAAATCCATGTGAAAAAGCTAGATTCAGTAAGCTTCTGTGATCCCAGCACTCCTACAGCAAGGTAGCCTCTGCTTCAGTTCCTGCCCCTGCCTGGGTTTCTGCCTTCAGTACTTGCCCTGACTTCCTCCAGTGGTGGACTGTGACCTGGGAGTACAAGCTGAACAAACCCTTTTTTATGCCCATGGTATTTATCATAGCAACAGAGCAAACTTCCCCAACTGAAAAGTGTTGATGGTCTCTGGGGGGAGAAAAGTGTTTAAAGATGTGGTCTTTGGAAAGTCAACAGGCATAAACCGACAGACACACACACAGGAATATATGGGCAACACAAATTGGACTCAGTTGGTTATAATTTTTTAACAGAGGACATAAAGTTAAGAGATTGAGAAGGTGAGGGAATAGATCTGGAAGGACTTGGTGGAAGGAGGAAGGGTGAATATGATTAAAATACATTGTGTGACATTTTCAAATAAAAATGTATTACATTTTTAAAATATGTGATTTTAAAATTATATATATATAATATATAATTTCTATCCATGAGAAGGTTCCAGAAGTGATATGTCCCAGTAGCAATGGGCACAGCTGACTTCCATCATCTTTTGGTGCTAGTTTGTTTGTTTATTTTCTCGGTGCACATGTGAAGGTCAGAGGACAACTTGCTGGACTCAGTTCTTTCCTTCCACATGAGTCCTGGGGACACAGCTCGGGTCATTGAGTTTGGAAACAGGCACCTTTACCTCTGAGCAATCGCACTGGGCCCCCGGCTCCTGGTTTCTTGATTCCATCATCAAAGGAATGCTGTCCTTGGGGAAACAGCTGATTCCTTGGGAAGGGCTGGACATAGGAATCAAGGAAACAAAGGAAAAGACTGTGAGTTCAACATCATCATCACCCTCAATTGAAATGTTCAGGCCCAAAATGAGGCTCTGGGTGGAGATATCCGTGTCTGCTCTACTTTTTTTGTTTGTTTGTTTGCTTCTTTTTTTTTTTTTTTTTTTGAGACTGGCTTGTCATGGAACTCGCTCTGTAAAAGCAGGCTATCCTCGAACTCACAGAGATATACCTGCCTCTGCCTCCCGTGTGCTGGTACTAAAGGTGTGTGCCACTACCACCCGGATGTGTGTGCTACTTTTTTTTTTATATTTTATTTTCCAGTTTAAATTTAGATAAGAAACGAGGTTGCTTCACAAATCAGTTCCAGGTTCCTCTCCCATTCCCTCCCCTCCTCCCGTGCCCTCCCCCCACCCCCCCGTTATCCCCTCATTCCCCCAGGGAGGGTGAGGCCCTCCATGGGGGTGGCCATAGTCTGTCATTTCATATAGGGCAGGGCCTAGACCCTTCCCCAAGAGTTCAGGGTGAGAGTGCACCTCACATTGTTCTATGGGAGTCCAAAGTCCATGTGTATACTTGGGATGGGTACTGATCTGCTGCCCAAGGCTCAATAGATTCCCTAGGCCTCCTCACTGACACCTAGATTCAGTTCAGTACTTAACCAAGGGAGTCTGCCTCTTCTTCGATCAGCCACTAAATAAAGTTTCTGTTTCCCAGACTCTCTGGCCATAGGATTGTAGGCTGGCACTCCCCAGATCTATGTCTAAAATCCATATATGAGAGAGTACATGCCATGTTTCTCTTTTTGTGACTGGGTTACCTCACTCAGGATGGTTTCTTCTAGTGTCATCCATTTGCCTGCGAATCTCATGATTCCATTATTTTTTTCTGCTGAATAGTACTCCATTGTGTAGATGTACCACATTTTCTCTATCCACTCTTAGGGTGAGGGACATCTAGGTTGCTTCCAAGTTCTGGCTATTACAAATAAAGCTGCTATGAACATAGTGGAACAGACATCTTTGTTGTATGAATGGGCATCTTTTGGATATATGCCTAAGAGTGGAGTTGCTGGGTCTTGTGGTAGGTTTATTCCCATTTTTCTGAGGAATCTCCATACTGATTTCCAAAGTGGCTGAACCAGTTGGCACTCCCACCAGCAATGGAGGAGTGTCCCCCTTTCACCACATCCTCTCCAGCATAAATTGTCATTGGTGTTTTTGATTTTAGCCATTCTGACAGGAGTGAGATGGTATCTCAGAGTTGTTTTGATTTGCATTTCCCGGATGGCTAAGGATGTTGAGCACTTTCTCAAGTGCCTCTCAGCCATTTTAGACTCCTCTATTGAAAACTCTCTATTTAGTTCTGCAGCCCACTTTTTAATAGGGTCCTTTGGTGTTTTGGAGACTTGCTTCTTGAGTTCTTTGTAAATTTTGGAGATCAACCCTCTGTCAGATGTGGGATTAGTTAATATTTTTCCCATTCTGTGGGCTGCCTTTTTGTCTTGCTGACTGTGTCCTTTGCCTTACAGAAGCTTCTCAGTTTCAGTAGGTCCCATTTATTAATTATTGATCTCACTGTCTGTGCTACTGGTGTTATGTTCAGGAAGCTGTCTCCTGCACCAATTCGTTCAAGGGTACCACCCACTTTCTCTTCTAAGAGGTTCAGTGTGGCTGGATTTATGTTGAGGTCTTTGATCCATTTGGACTTAAGTTTTGTGCATGGCGATAAACATGGATCGATCCGCATTCTTCTACATGCCAGTCTCCAATTATGCCAGCACCATTTGTTGAAGATGCTTTCTTTATTCCATTGTATGTTTTTAGCTTCTTTGTCAAAGATCAGATGTTCGTACGTGTGTGGGTTAATACCCGGATTTTCAATTCGATTCCATTGGTCTGCCTGTCTATTTTTGTGCCAATACCAAGCTGTTTTCAGGACTATACCTCTGTAATAGAGCTTGAGGTCAGGGATGGTGATGCCTCCGGACGTTGCCTTGTTGAACAGGGTTGTTTTGGCTATCCTGGGTCTTTTGTAAATTGATTATTGTTCTTTCAAGGTCTGTGAAGAATTGTGCTGGGATTTTAATGGGGATTGCATTGAATCTGTAGATTGCTTTTGGCAGGATTGCCATTTTTACTACATTGATCCTACCTATCCAAGAGCATGGGAGATCTTTCCATTTTCTGAGGGCTTCTTTAATTTCTTTCTTTAAAGATTCAAAGTTCTTACGATACAGGTCTTTCACTTGTTTGGTTAGCGTTACCCCAAGGTATTTTATGTTGTTTGTGGCAATTGTAAAGGGTGATGTTTCTCTGATTTCTCTTTCAGCCCTTTTATCATCTGTATATAGTAGGGCTACTGATTTTCTTGAGTTGATCTTGTAGCTTGCCACTTTGCTGAAGGTGTTAATCAGCTGTAAGAGTTCCCTGGTAGAGTTCTTTGGGTCATTGATGTAAACTATCATATCGTCTGCAAACAGTGAAAGTTTGACCTCTTCCTTCCCAATTTGTATCCCCTTGATCCCCCTTTGTTGTCGTATGGCAATAGCTAGAACTTCAAGTACCATGTTGAAAAGGTATGGAGAGAGTGGACAGCCTTGTTTTGTTCCTGATTTTAGAGGAATTGCGTTGAGTTTCTGTCCATTTAGTTTGATGTTGGCTGTTGGTTTACTGTATATAGCTTTTATTATGTTTAAGTATGTCCCTGTTATCCCAGATCTCTCCAAGACCTTTATCATGAAGGGGTGTTGGATTTTGTCAAAGGTTTTTTCAGCATCTAGTGAGATGATCATGTGATTTTTGTTTTTCAGCTTGTTTATATGGTGGATTACGTTGATGGATTTTCGTATTTTGAACCATCCCTGCATCCCTGGGATGAAACCTACTTGATCGTGGTGAATGATTGTTTTGATGTGTTCTTGGATCCGATTTGCCAGTATTTTATTGAGTATTTTTGCATCAATGTTCATGAGGGATATTGGTCTGAAGTTCTCTTTCTTAGTTGTATCTTTGTGTGGCTTGGGGATCAAGGTTATTGAAGCCTCATAGAAAGAGTTTGGCAAAGACCCTTCTGCTTCTATTGTGTGGAACACTTTGAGAAGAATTGGTATAAGCTGTTCTTTGAATTTCTGGTAGAATTCTGCACTGAGGCCATCTGGACCTGGACTTTTTTTGGTTGGGAGACTTTTGATGACAGCTTCTATTTCCATAGGGGTTATAGGTCTATTTAAATTGCTTATCTGTTCTTGATTTAGTTTTGGCAAATGATAGCTGTCCAGGAAGTCATCCATTTCCTTTAAATTTTCGAATTTTATGGAGTACAGGTTTTCAAAGTACGACCTAATGATTCTCTGGATTTCCTCAGAGTCTGTTGTTATGTCCCCCTTTTCATTTCTGATTTTGTTAATTTGCGTGTTCACTCTCTGCTGTTTGGTAAGTTTGGACAAAGGTTTGTCTATCTTGTTGATTTCTCTTCGTTGCATTGATTCTTTGTATTGTTTTCCTGGTTTCTACTTTATTGATTTCAGCCCTCAATTTGATTATTTCCTGGCGTCTACTCCTCCTGGGGGAGTTCGCTTCTTTGTGTTCTAGAGCTTTCAGCTGTGATGTTAATTCTCTGGTATAACTGTTCTCCTGTTTCTTCATGTGAGCACTTAGTGCTATGAACTTCCCACGTAGCACTGCTTTCAAAGTGTCCCATAGGTTTGGGTATGTTGTGTCTTCATTCTCATTGAATTTGAGGAAGTCTTTAATTTCTTTTTTTATTTCCTCTTTGACCCAGGGATGGTGCAGTTGAGCATTATTCAATTTCCATGAGTTTGTAGGTTTTCTGCAATTTGTGTTGTTGTTGAATTCTAATTTTAAAGCATGGTGGTCTGATAAGATGCATGGAGTTATTCCAATTTTTTTGTAGCTGCTGAGGTTTGATATGTTGCCAAGTATGTGGTCGATTTTTGAGAAGGTTCCATGTGGTGGTGAGAAGAAGGTATATTCTTTTTTATGTGGATGAAATGTTCTATAGATATCTGTTAATCCCAGTTGGGTCATTACTTCTATTAGACCCTTTGCTTCTTTGTTGAGTTTGTGTCTGGTATTCCTGTCTAATGGTGAGAGTGGTGTGTTGAAATCTCCCACTATAACTGTGTGGGGCTTTAGATGAGATTTAAGTTCTAATAATGTTTCTTTAACGAATGTGGATGCCTTTGTATTTGGGGCATAGATGTTCAGGATAGACACTTCATCTTGGTGGGTTTCACCTGTGATGAGTATGTAATGACCTCCTTCATCTCTTTTGATTGATTTTATTTTAAAGTCTAGTT